TGTTCAATTTTAAAAGTATTTTGAACCACCCCATTTCTAAAGCAGCCTACGAGCCTGCGTATTTTATAGATCTCTTGCATTTGACGTCAAAGCAGTTTCATCCGGAGGAGAGAGAAAGAAAAAAGATTTAATTTCGCTTGAAGGGACATGGTCCACCAGTATCCCTTTCGACCTCTTGCTCATGTTTGAAAATAAAAATATATTGTAATATAAGCAAAAATGTAGTCTTTATTATCCCTTTATACTATATGAATGCAGACACTGTAAGATTCGACTATTAAACCGATGGATGGAAACGGATTGCGAATGGATATTCGACGTAATATTCTAATACACGACCGCATTGAATTCTGGTGGACTATGTCCCTTTAAAGCGCACCTGGATCTTTTTAGAAAATCATTTTTAACAAAAGGCAACTTATTGCTAATAATTGTTTTGAAGAAAAAAAAGTTGTTTGAATTTTATTTTCTGAGTTAAAGGCATTTGAAAATTGAAATTGCTACTGAATTGACGTCAAAGAAGGCTTCATTAGATATACGAACTTTGAAGGAGTCGCTTAAAAATGGTTTCATGACATAAAATTTATCGTAGGCAATGTAGAGAATAACCATATATTCCATGGCACTCATGAAAACACTTTTGAGCGACTCCTTCAAAGTTCGTATATCTAATGAAGCCTCCCTTCAAAACAATGATTAGCATCATATTTGCCTTTTTGTTTAAAATGATTTTCTAAAAGGGTTCATGTGCACTTTAAGAGAATGTTTTGTTCTCCAGTTGGCGTTTATTCGTTCATTCTTTTTTTCTTATATTTTCTAATTCGTGAAGTGTGTTTGATTTGCTTTAATGGCTACTTGCATTTTCTTCATCTCTGCTTTACGTGGCATACTTGGAATCTCCTGAGTGCTAGAAAAAAAAAAAATCAAAACAAAAAAATATTTTCATTATTGAAATACATGCAAAGTTAGGAACCCTTGCATATGATCTTTTTTTTTTCGTTTTAGTATTCTCCAGTTATTAACAAAAACGAAGCTTGTCTTGAAAAAGACAATTGGATGAAGCTTGGCGTGCAATGAATTTACACGACAAGCCATTGGTCTACAAGACATTACCATTACCTTGAAGTGGAGAAATTATAGACCAAACGCAGGAAAACCATGAAACAAAATAAAACAAAATACTAACAAATGGCGGCTACTTAGAGGCAGTTTGTCAGTACCAATGAACCAGAACACAATGAAGATGAATCCACATGTTATATGTTAAATGTTCTTTTGAATTTGTAGGAATGTGAGCAATGCAAACATTGATATGAATAGTCTCATTTGTCAAATTCAAAAGAATAATTTACTCTTGCTATCGAGGCCAAGTGCAACTGAAAAGGTGTATTAGTTGATACCTCTGCTGACCAGCACGAACGATGGCTCCAGTAGATGACAGCTTCACCATGAAAAGACGATGGATAAGATCGTCTTCACTTTCTAAAGGGAAAACAATTCAGAAATTTTTAGAAACTAGRTTACTTTGTGTTTGATGTGCTTTGCTCTGATTGGCCGACAAACAGCACCTGGCCAATCGTATAAAAAAACTGAATTAAAAAGGAATAAGGACCGTGACCAGGACAGTTTTTGTACAGGTGCCACTGGATAAGCAAATATTTATGCCCATGAGTTGTACCAAGGGTGAATATTACCAATCATGCAACTGGCACTGTTGATAGCGAGGCCTAGATATATTTCTTCTGAGGACTAGAGACGAACGGGACATTTTTAGCACATGGTTACCGAGGATGAATGTCGATAAGCTCTTCATGATTCTTCGGGTGTCATGTGAAAATTGCAAATCACATTCAGATCTTTTAGAACGTTTGATCAACAAACCTTGTAAACACGTGATTAAGCTACCTCCCAACATGTCTTTGTTTTTGCTTAARATGTCAACAGCAGAGTAGGTAACCTGCAATTCATCGATAGATCTGGAATCACTAACCACAGGAAAGTTAAAGCGACGCCACTTTTGTAAACAAAGCATGATGGAATATGCAATCTCCTCCCTTATTCATGCCCGCTAGAATAATCCCCAAGCCTTGTTTCTGTTGTATTTACGTGGACTTCCTGTGGAAGCTAACGTCTAAAAATACCTACGGCCTCACGCAATAGTCTCCTTCACGGATACCTGCGCCATCTTGAAAGGTAGCCGTGCCTTAACATGGAAGCGAGACAACCGTTGAGCGTGCAATGATAGATACCTGTGAATAATTGTCTGTAGGTGTGAAAGAAGGTTTCTATCATTGCACGCTCAACGGTCGTCTCGCTTCGATGCAAAGGCATGGCTACCTTTCAAGATGGCGCAGGTAACCGTGAAGGAGACTATTATGGCCTCTTTGAAAGACAAACTCGTGCAAATTAATTCCAAATTGAACTCGAAACCATCTTATTACCTATACTTACAAGTAAGAGAACGACTAGTTGGGGGAAGGGACTATGCATGGGAGTTTTTTTTTTCCATTTTCGAATTCAAAGCGAATAACCGTTTTATTTGACAACAGATTCTCTTACGCAAAGACCTCACAAACACAAAAGAAAGCACAAGAAAATGTGCAGTTTTTTTTACATTTTTTTATTTACACGAGAAAATGTTGTAAAGATGAGGCTAACCCTCCGATCATACAGGGTTAGTCTCAACTCGGAAAAAATACAAAATTTCAAGGCTATCGCAAAACGACATTTTCTCGTACTTTCTTTAGTTTACTTCTAAAGTCTTTGCGTAAGAGAATCTGTTGTCAAATAAAGCAGCGGTTACTCGCTTTGTATTCGAAAATGGAGTATKATATATGATAAACGGATTTTATATTCTTATGTCCAAAAGTCTTGCTTAGTACGCTCACTCTTGAGAGATCTTTTTCAATCTCGAAGATAAAATCCGTATCTCCACGCACCGATGTAATGTCCTCTCTCTATATAAATTATGTTCAAGTTCTGGTTTGCTCCGTGTTAGCCTAAAATAATAAAAAATAAAAATAAAATAAAAAGGAAAATAAACTCTTTTATTTTGAGAGGTTAGCACGTAATAGTCTCTAGACTAGTAAACTTGTGGCCCTCTATATATTCACTCACACTCACTACCTCAACATTCATTATTTTACTACACGATACTCCTCAAAACGTCAACGACACACTCCTCAAAACCAAACGACATACTCTTTTGTTTGATTGATAGCCCGAGAAAACACATGGAATTTGAAAAGAAAGACAATGAAATTGATTTGAAAATCTCACACTTTTATTCTCGCAATTAGGAATATTATATGCACAAATGAGGCTAACACAGAGCATTGGGAAATTCGAAACTGGATTATTCAGCCAGAAATTTCTAGATTCGCCTCTATTCCGGTCCTACAAAATTTCTTTAAAGATCGAAAGTAAATTTAGAATTTCATCGTGCTATTGTACTTCAATTTTTAGTYGAATATTGGTATTAGTTAGACAAAAAATACAGTTTCTGTTTTTCAATCTTGTAAAAGTCATTTGCTAGAAGATGGAAAGATCGGAAATACAAGCAACAATCACTGGAAAAAATCGCGCGCTTTAAAGGTTGTAAATTTGATGTAAATATTATGTAAGTGTCCAAAATGATGTAAATCAAATTTAAGCATCAAATTTACATCAAATTTACATCATTTTGGACACTTACATAATATTTACATCAAATTTACAACCTTTTAAAGTGAACGATTTTTTCCAGTGAATGTAGGTGTTACTTTATTCGATTCAACTATCTACAGCTTGTTGACAATGCCCCATCAAGGAAAATGCTATGACGTACTTTGACAAAACAAATATCAGACCAATGCGTCGCTCAATTTTACTAAAGCGTTTTAATGCTGCCTCCGAGTTACTTTGATCGAGTGAAATATGTAGAAAGCAAGTCGGTAAAGTATGAGTCATGTCAAATAACTCTACTAGTTTCGTCAATTTTACTAGTAGCCATGACGTTTGTTTTATGTCAGTGGCATACTTTGATCCGAACAACATGGACCCTCCCGATTCAGTTTATTCGACCTGGACCTTCCTCGCCACTGTCAATGGCCTTGCCATCCTATGGCCTTGCCATCCTGCCGACTGCTGTCCTTAATGGTTTGATCATATGGACGGTGTTTTATGATGAAAATCTTAGATCCTCAACATTCAACTTTTTGCTTGCCCTCTTAGCGGTGACAGATTTCCTGGTAGGATTGCTGGTCGAACCGATGTTCTGTGCCTTGCTTGGATGCTTTGTAAACGGCTGTCATTCACCTTGTCAATTCACCATGTATGTCATGATGGTGCTGGTTTGCAGTGGATTAACCATGGTCATCTTGTTGGCAGCCAGTGTCGAGAGGTATTTAGCCATAGAATACCCGAACTTTTACCTCAAGTACGTTACAGGGAAAAGAGTAATAATAACAACCATAATGACAAGTGTTGCTGTCATCGCATGTGTGATGGCAAGTATCGCTTTCTTAAATAGCAACTGTCCCAGTCTTAACAGAGTCCCAGTAGTGTTAGCCACGACGTTTAGTGCTCTGGTCATCCTCTACTGCTCAGTAAAAGTCCAGCTGACAGCTTATCGTCAGAGTAGAACCATCGCCCAACAGAAAGAATCAGTTCAACAGCCCAATGAACAGCAACAACAAGAACAACGCCTCAAGGACTACAAGAAAGTCTTCATGATGACCGTACTAGTCGGTCTGATGGTTGCATTTTATATTCCTTTCATGATCGTTGCCGTGATTGAAGCTGTGTGGGGGAAAGATGTCACAAGAGAGTTTAAGTACCTCTCTGCTGCTGTCTGTCTTACATTTCTGCAACTCCAATCTCTGATCAACCCAATCTTCATGTCGCTTCGTCTCTCTTACATTCGACAAGGCATCAAAAACAAGCTTTCTTTCTTTACCGGGAACTGATTTGTAAATATGTGAGT